ATATATATATATATATATACATCTTCCTGTTGCTCGTTAAGGTCCATGGTTACTAAAATCTAAATATATGTTATACTTTTCCTTTTTTTTCCTTATACCAAATTGAAATATTGATTAAAATTTTATTTTATATGATGCAGAAATTATATTAATTTTAATATGTCGTATCCAGTAAATAGAGCATTCCAGTTAAATAGAGTTGAAACTTGAAGTACCTTTTCATTCATGTTTATTATTTTTTATTTTTTTTTTCAGATTTTGTTCAATATTTCGAAATATACGAAAAAGTAACATAGAGTCTGTAATATATTTTAAGCTATTTTAACTTAGAAAATAAATATTTATATTTTCAAACTTGAAGCTATTATAAAAAAAATTATATATGTGTAAATTTAATTTTAAATGTTTATTTTAAACTTTGAATGTAAATTGCAAATAATTATGAAAACATTTAAAGTTTATGATAATTTTTTGAAATAAATAAAAATTTGCTAACATTATTTGTTCAGATTATTCTCAATTATATATTGAAAAAAGGTAGAAATACTATTAAACTCATTTAAAAACAGTTATGAAAAAAAAAAACGTTTTAATATTTTGTGACGAACACAGGGACACTCTAAAGGAATTTTCTTTGTAACATGATTTCAAACAATCTAGTTTACTAAGTGACTATGAGTAGTAATTGGTAGTAAAAAGATGTTGCGATATATTGATTTATACTGTTGTTTTTATTTAAAAAAAATTATTAGTTTCCAAAGCAATAATTTGTAGTTATCAATGTCCATTATAGGTAAACAAAAAATGAAAATTCTGAATTTTCCTAAGAGAACTAATTTATTACAAATTTAAACGATAGAAAAATGAACTTATTCGTGATATTTTAAACACATGATCTTTGATATTTTTACGATAATATTTTTTTTTTGAATAATCAAATGATTCTGAAAATCTACAGAGTTAATGAAGCAATTGTTTAGATAAGTACAATTTTATAAATTATATGCAATTTTAATCATTGAAATTGTTTCGATCTTGACTTTCAGTGATCTCTGTAAGTATGTGCATGTTCTTTAATAAAGCTGACTTATGATAAAAAGAAGAAAAAAATTGCGTTTCTTGCAACAAACGATCTTTGTTAAAATATCATCATGATTTCAAAAGGAAATCCTGCACAGTGGTCGGTAGAATACATTATCAAGAACTTAATTTACACTCACGTTCAAATTGGTTTTGAATAAGATATTGACTTACATTAAATATAAGAAAAATAATTAAGAAATATGTATTCATGTTTACATGAGTCACAGCTTGTTATTCCAAAACTTTTCTTATGAATTTGTTCATTCATCCCTTAACTTCTTTTACCTTTTTCAACAGCAAATATATAATTTAAGAAATGCGAAATTATCAAATATTTGCAATTTTTTGCTTTCTTTATGCTCTTTTATTTCGTCCAAGAAATTAAGTTCATCGAAAATGCGTCCCCTTCCTTTGAAATAACATAAATGTTTCACGAGTGTGTATTCGCATGTGAAAGTGCGTCCAAAGTGATCAATTATTTATTTTTCGTAATAGTCAGTTTAAATATTAGTTAAATGATTTTTAATGCGTAATTTCTGTTAACGCTCAGCTACAGCACAGGGTCATTTTCAATGCATCCATTGACAGAGCCATGAAGATTTGTACCCATCAAAAAATTAGTTACGTTTGAACCGTGTTTCTTTTCCAAATTAAACGCTAAAAGTAGTTTCCAGGAATGACTATAAACTACTGTTTCTTTGTATCACGCTACTCACTATACTACTCTTTTACAAAAAAGTAGCACACTAAAATACAAACTACAAAGAAAAGTAGCAACTACAGTAGTTTCACTATTTGTAATGTGCCACTTCTGACCACAAAACCTGCGTAATTAAATATCTGATAAGAGCATGTAATTATAAATCAAAATATAAGGTTTTCTATTTAGATACTTTAGAATGTATAGATAAATCAGCAATTTATAAGTTAAATTTAAGATATTTGTTTAAATTAAACAATTTATGTGAAAAACTATAATTCATCTGAGAGACAGGCTGATTCATAATGCGGTAATTTTGAATTAATAAATTAGTCATACAAACTAAAATCTATTTTAATTCGTATTCAATTGTCGCAATATTTATAATCAGCCATTTTCAGAAATGGAACGTAATTGCAATTAAATGTTCGATTCAAGCTTCTAATTTGCTTTCGGAATTTGTTATCAGGCATAATTGTAATTAATGAATATTAAATTAAATAAACGTAATGCCCGATTATCTGCGACATTAAATGACATTTTGCTCTAACCAGAGAAAAGCTGTTTTAATTTAGTTTCACAAACGATGGCTGGACTGGAAAAATAAGTTTCATCGCTTTGGTTTCGAATTTCAAGTTTAATTTAGAAATAGCTTTTTAAATTGCTTCAGTCGTCCTTCGTAATGAATATTTGAGATTTAGAAGCTTTCATAATTAAAACATGGAAACTTTGAACATTAAGTCAATATGCTCTGTCTAAATCTCATTTACTATAAATGGATTTTTATATTAAAATTATGAAAGAAGGCCCTATACAGAAAGTCATCATTCAATTTTCCAAGCTTTGTTTCATAATATGTGTTTAACAAGCTAAATATAATGCAATGAATAATTTTGACAGAGCCATGAAGAATT